TTTCTTCTGCTCGATCAGTTCTGCTAATAAAATACTCTGATGCATTCTTTAATATGTCAATTATATTTTTCAACTCTAGAATTTCTGTTGAATTCTTTTTAATTATTTTAGCCTCTTTGTTAAATTTATGTACTATAATTCTGAATTCCTCCTTTGTGTTATCATGAATTTATCTTGAATTTCCTCTAAACAGCTATTTTGAATATCTGTCTGAAAGGTCACATAGCTCAGTTTCTCCAGGATTGGTCCCTAGTGCCTTATTTAGTTTGTTGGTGAGGTCATGTTTTCCTGAATGGTCTTGATGTTTGTTGGCATCTGGGCATTAAAGAGTTAGGTATTTATTATTTGTATAGTCTTTGTAGTCTGGGCTTGTTTTTACCTATCTTTCTTGAGAAGGCTTTACAGGTATTTGAAGGGACTTGGGTGTTGTGATCTAAGCCATATCTGCATCAGAGGGCATCCAAAGCCCAGTAATGCTGTAGTTCTTGCAGACTCATGGAAGTATCGCTTTGGTGGTCTTGAATAAATTTGGAAGAATTCTCTGGATTACCAGGCAGAAATTCCTGTTCTCTTCCCTTTTCCCCTAACAAATTTAGTCTCTCTTTCTGTGATAAGGCACCTAGAGCTGGATATGGGGTGACACAGCAACCCTGAGGCTACCGCCACTGGGACTGTGCTGAGTCATACCTGAAGTCAGCACAGCACTGGGTCTTACCCGCTGTGACCACTACCTGGCTACTGCCTATGTTCACTTCAAACCCCAGGGCTCCACAATCAGCAGATGGTGAAGCCAGCCAGGCTTGTGTCCTTTCCTTTAGGGTGGTGAATTTCCTCAGCCACCAGGGTGTCCAGAGATGTAGTCTGGGAGCCAGGGGCTAAAGTAAAAAACTTTAGAAGTCTACCTGGTACTCTATTCTACTATGGCTAAGCTGACCCTCAAACCATAAGACAAAGTCCTTCCCACTCTTCCTTCCCATTTCCACAGACAGAGGAGCCAGTCCCCTTGGCCACCATCAAAGACCTATGGAGGGTACTGCCAGGCTACTGCTAATGTTCACTTAAGGCCCATGGGCTTAGTCAGCTTGTGTTGAATACTGTGAGGCCTGGGACTCACCCTTCAGGGAAGTGGGCTCCCCTCTGGCTCAAGGCAGGTCCAAAAATGCCATCCAAGAGCCAAGGCTGTAATCAAGGGCACCAAGGGCCCACGTAGTGTTCTACTCCACTGTGGCTGAGCTGGTACTTAAGCTATAAGACAAAGTCTTTTTTACCTTTCCCTCTGCTTTTCTCAAGCAGAAGTCTCTCACCACAGCCACCATGGCTGGGAATGTGCTGGGTCTCACCTGAAGCCAGCACGTCTAGATGCTGCTACTCTACAGTCTCACCCAAGGCCCACAACGTACTACCTGGGTATCGCTGCTGGTTCTTCAGGGCCCAAAGGCTCTTTAGTCAGCAGGTGATGAACCTGCCAGGACCGGTTCTTCCTTTCAAGGTAGCAGGTTCCCTCTGGTCCTGGTGTATCTAGATATGCTGTCTGGGAGCTAGGGCCTAACTGGGGCCTCATGACTCTATCCACTGCCCTATGGTACTGTGGCTGACCTGGTCTCCAATTTGCAAGACAAAGTCCTCTTTACTCTTCCCTTTCATCTCCTTATGCAGAAGAAAGGAGTCACTTTTGTGACTGCAAGTTGTGCTACCTGGGGCTGTGGGAGGGGTAGCATTAGCACTCCCTTATCTGCTCTGGCTGGTGTTTCACTAGGTTGTGTGCCTCCCCCACCCAATGTCCACTGGCTCTGAGCTCAATACAGCACTAGGAATTGCCTAGGAATGGTAGTCTTTGTAGCCTAGACTGCCTTCAAGCTTATTTAGGACCCCAGATCACTTTAGCCCAAAATGCTAACAAAACATAAGTTCTTACTGCTGGGATTGGTGATTCCCTTTTGGCTAGGGTTGGACTAAATGCTCCCTCCATGGGTGGGTGTCAGTAGAGTTCAGCCTGATTTTGCTTTGCTATGGCAGAACAACACTGAGTTCAATGCCACAACTGCTGTGCTCTCACTCCTGCGAGCTTACAAGTTCTCTGCACCATGCACGGGCACCAGGAGATGGCGGAATGGTGGCATCAGCAATTCGAGATTGTCTTCAATGCTTCTTTCAGTGATATGATGTTAAAACCAGGTATTGTGATTGTTCACCTCATTTTTGTTTCTTATGAAAATACTTTTTTTTTTTTTTTTTTTTTGAGACGGAGTTTCACTCATGTTACCCAGGCTGGAGTGCAATGGCGCGATCTCGGCTCACCGCAACCTCCACCTCCTGGGTTCAGGCAATTCTCCTGCCTCAGCCTCCTGAGTAGCTGGGATTACAGGCACGCACCACCATGCCCAGCTGATTTTTTGTATTTTTGGTAGAGACGGGGTTTCACCATGTTGACCAGGATGGTCTCGATCTCTTGACCTCGTGATCCACCCGCCTCAGCCTCCCAAAGTGCTGGGATTACAGGCTTGAGCCACCGCGCCCGGCATGAAAATACTTTTATGTGTGGATAGTTGTTAAATTTGTTGTTTCTGTGGGGGTGTCGGGGGTGAATAATAAAGACTTCTATTCAGCCATCTTGCTCCACCTGTGTTTTTGTTTTTGGTTGTTGTTTTTTTTTTTATAGAGATGGGGTCTCACTATGTTTCCCAGGCTGCTGACAAACTCCTGGGCTTGAAGAATCCTGGGATTATAGGTGTGAGCCACCACACCGAGTTGAAGACATCCTGTTTTGAAGACAAGCCTAGGCTAAATGACCTAGCTTACTTTCTAATGATATCTGTTGCTAATACTGTCAAAAGCATATTTGCGCATGTTAACTTCCTGAATTCTTGACCATGAGTGTCTTCTTTATTAAGAAACTAGTAAATGGAACTTTGATCAGCTGCTGAAAAGTACTTACTCAGTAGTAGAAAGAGATCTATAATGGATACTAGTTTCTGAGCTGAATGAACCTTCCTTTCTTTTCTTTTTTTTTTCTTGTTTTTTTTTGAGACAGAGTCTTGCTCTGTTGCCAGGCACCAGGCTGCAGTGCAGTGGCACGATCTCGGCTCACTGCAACTTTTGCCTCCTGGGTTTGAGCAATTCTCCTGCCTCAGCTCCCAAGTAGCTGGGACCACAGGCGTGCACCACCACGGCTAGCTAATTTTTGTATTTTTTAGTAGAGACAGGGGTTTTACCATGGTCTCGATCTGACCTCATGATCTGCCCGCCTGGGCCTCCCAAAGTGCTGGGATTACAGGCGTGAGCCACCGCGCCCTGCCACCTTCCTAATTTTCTAAAACCCCATCTGCTAGTTCCAAAGGATTCTGAAAAGGATTTGGGATGTTTCTCATAATAAAGGAGAAAAGGCAGTTTATAATTCAAATATTAATGAGAATAGTATACAAAGAAAAAGGATTTTTTGAGTTTTCAGAGTCTAAACAATAGAGTAAAAATAAAAATGAAAAGTTACGAGATCAAGTGGAGACATCACTGGAATTCCTCAGCTATGCAAATAAACTGTTTAAGTGAGGAATTTAATCTGTCTATATCTAACAAGAATAAAGTCAGCTTATATCAGATAACATAGAAATAAATTAATTTATTGGCTGGGCATGGTGGCTCATGCCTGTAATCCCAGCACTTTGGGAGGCTGAGGCAGGTGGATCATGAGGTCAAGGGATCAAAACCATCCTGGCCAACGTGGTGAAACCCCCTCTCTACTAAAAAATACAAAAATTAGCCGGGCGTGGTGGCACATGCTTGTAATCGCAGCTACGCGGGAGGCTGAGGCAGGAGAATTGCTTGAACCCGGGAGGCGGAGGATGCAGTGAGCTGAGATCGCGCCACTGCACTCCGGCATGGCGCCTGGCAACAGAGCAAGACTGTTTCAAAAAAAAGAGAAAGAAATTAATTTATTAATTAGTCTTCAATTAAAACACCTATTATCAAAGCTGATTATTATATATTATAGTGCTTTTCAAATTTCTTTTTTTTTTTTTAAAAGATGGGGTTTCACCATGTTGGTCAGGCTGGTCTTGAACTCCTGACCTCAGGTGATCCACCCGCCTTGGCCTCCAAAGTGCTTGGATTACAGGCATACAGGCATGAGCTACCATGCCCAGCCTCAAATTTCACTTCTTAATAGAACCCCCCCTCTAGTTTTATAACTGAAATTTTATAAAATAGATAAACATGAAGCTGCTCTTTCTTTTTTTTTTTTTTTTGAGATGGAGTTCTGCCCTTGTTACCCAGGCTGAAGTGTAATGGCGTGATCTTGGTTCACCACAACCTCTGCCTTCCGAGTAGCTGGGATTATAGGCATGTGCCACCACACCTGGCTAATTTTTCGTATTTTTAGCAGAGACAGGGTTTCTCCGTGTTGGTCAGGCTGGTTTTGAACTCCCAACCTCAAGTGATCCACCCGCTTCTGCCTCCCAAAGTGCTGAGATTACAGGTGTGAGCCACTGTGCCTGGCTGAAGCTGCTCTTTTTAAAGCAAGAACTTCAAAATGAGGAAGCTAGAACCAAACCCACTTGATCTCCCCTATTCCCACTGCACCAGATCTTAAGACTCTTCTAAGAAAATTGTTTGAAATTCACCAGTTTAAATAAGGTGTTCTATCAGCCTAAGTAAGGTTTTATTAAAGTGGTCATGAGTAAAACTGATTATGAGAAAATAAAAATATGCCTTAATTTTTAAACTAGGTTCTTGATTCATTCTTCTACCACTGATCAAAACATAATATATTTTAAAACAATTTGTGACTATTCTTCTTAACAGAAGTGCAAGCAAGGCTCTCTTGTAACTTGTCTGTTCTTTTCTGCCTCAGATCTTAATCTCTGGGATCCTAAGACTGCTTGAGACTTTCCAACAGCTAAATTCTGAATTGGAAATACCACTTCTCCTGTTAAAGGAAGGGAAGTATGTCTATTTATTAAACAAACAAACAAAACAGAGGGGGGAAAAGAAAGTATTTAACTTACCCAGAGTACAAGAACATTCATGAGATGGTCTATCTGTGTTCGTTTAAAAGTAGACTTTCCACTGTTCTGCATTAATTTGGTGTCTGGCCCTAAATAAAATAGGAAGATATCAGACATTAGAATCACTGAATATACTCAGAGGCTTGGAATTGGTTGAATTGTACCTTTATAATCATCTAATCTAACCATTTATCCAATGCCAGAGGATAAAACCCTAGAGAAAGGCTCACAGTTGTAACTAAAAAAAAAATGGAAAATTTGTTTCTAAGGATAGTTACAACGACTTCTGTAAAGTACATTCATGCAGATGCCTCTCTTTGTAGCACCTCAGACAGTCTCAACTTTCATAGGTGAGTTAAATTAGAATAGGAGTCGCGAGCTTCTCTCTTATCGCCATCTGGTTTATTTAGCTTAGAGAAGGAATTTTCTGATGAAGAGATCCCCACCATCTCTTGAGGAAGCCCTCTGCTGGCTCAGGTTATATTGAAAGTTTCTAACTGGGAATGGAAGAAATGAAAAGGCAATGGCAGTGATTTCTTCTGAGGTGGAAGCAGGGGAGCTGAAATTCCTCTGGAGCTGAGAGACAGAAATTCCATGTTTCTTCCTGACAGGGCAGATGGTAGGCAGAAATAAGGAGCTTTTAATGGCCAACGGGACTACAGTTGGAAATTACTAACTCAAGATATGGCTTCTGAGAAAATGTAAGAGGTTTAGAAGAAACTGTAAGCAGCAATTTCTCTGGCCTTTCACCATCTGGCCATTAGTCTAACATGTGTTCTGATAAAGGACAGATAAAGGAATTTCATCAATGTTTACACATGGGGGAGCTGGGACATCTCTGATATGTGGGCAAACAGTGGGAGGACAAAGCATAAGCTATGCCATTCTTTCCTCTTAAACATTCCTTGAAGGGCTTGAAGACATGAGAAGTTTGGCATATAGCCTGAAAGCTACAAGGACCATATTTTCTAAGGGTCCTTAGACTGACCTTAACCCAGGCTTCAAGTAGAAGGTAGAAATCATCATGGAACTTGGACATCTTGTAGCAGGAATAGCAACTCAATTCCATGCTAATACCTCAAAATGTTTTTCGGTGGTGTCAGTTCTCTGCTCAGAGATTCCCAAAGGTACTCACTACCATGTAACCAACCTTGGGAAAACTTAATTACATTTGTGCTGGTAGGCAGCCTCACTACTATTGCTTTCAGGAAAAAAATCTTCCGCTGAAAAATGAGCTTTTTATGAGTGGCAGTTGTGTGTGAGTAGCTGCTGAAGACATACAGTGAAGGAAATAAGTCTAATTTAGGTTTGGCAATTAGGCAGCCTAGTCACTGCCACTCTAGATCAAGAACTAATGAAGTAAGTTCCACCAGGGCCTCCTTAGACTCTTAAGCTTCTCCCTAAGGATTTGGTCTCATTATTTTTCATGGAAGCAAGGAGTCTAGAAGCCTCATGTCTAGGAGTAGATTCTCTAGAAGGGGAGCTCTGGGAATCTAAGTTGAATAATATTTACTGTGGTAAATCTGTCTTGATATTTCCTGCTATGGTTGTTGTCACTGAGGGACTTGGGTAGCATAGAAGTTTCCTCCATTTTCCTGACCCACACCATATCCCAAGAAAATCCCTTACTAAATATAATGAATTGTGGTTCTAAATGACATCTCAAGAGCAGCCACCACTAATGATCCATGTGACTTTTCTCTGGCATGGACTTTTCACATTATATATTTTTCTCTATAATAAGCATTATATCCCATCTCTCCTCATGGGAATAGTTCACATGTATAGTCTTCCTCTTCGCATGGTAATTCTATCGTACTTCCTCTGTATGTATACTCTCTCTTGTGTCCAGATCTGGTTGAAGAGACTCATGGATACCCTGAAGTTTTAGAACACAATGCCTTCCTCTAACAAAGGTAGAACCGATATACTGGAAGTTCATTGCTTGGAAAAAGAAGCCACTTTTTTCCCCTAAGAAATAAGGTTTTTTCCTACAAACCTCCCATTCATCCATCCATCCATCCATCCATCCATCCATCCATCCATCCTTCCACCTGCCTTTCTCAAAGCCACAGTGTTCTAATATATTTCTGAGAGTCATATCCACATCCTGAAAACTAAGTACCCATAGGTCAGCCATGAATGGAATTTAGCAGGCTGGGGGCTAAGGGAAACATACCAGTGTAGATCACCAAGCCATAGCACCAATCTGTATTCCTGATGATGCAGCCTCGAAGTAGCAAATTGTCATGGTCCAGGAAGTATTTTTTCCCCTTATAGGTCAGTATTCCTGAGAATTTGTCCAGTTTGTTATTGGGAGCCTCACATCTCACTACTCCTGCAGAAAAATGAAGGTGTAAGAGTTCTTGATCTGTAATCTTTGGCTTTTCCTAACAGGATGGAAGACTTAATGAAAAGGAGGAAATAAAATCCTTCTTTCAAAATATATACACATCTTTTTCCTATCTTCTCTCAGTTACTGACCATTTCTCACCAGCTCCTGCAAGAAAGGCAGACAAAGGTTTCTGCACACTAAAGAAGAATATTTCTGAATGTGACATGGACCATCCAGAGAGAGAGAAAACCCCACATGATGGTGACATCAGTACTGCCAGATCATATGAGCTCTGAATCTGAAGAAACTCAAAAATGACTTAAGGCAAATCTAGTACTTTTTTAAAAATTGAAACAATTTGACTTTTTCCTGATTAGTAAAGTAAATATACACTGTGCAAATGTTTATGTAATATTAAAACGGTAAAGAAGGAAGTAAAATTCATTCACTGTTTTGAGAAAAGTGCTATATACCTTTTGAAGTACATCCTTCTAAGTTTTTTCTATATATGTACTCATATATGTTTCCAAAAACAGGTTTATGTTATATGCACTATGCAGTCTTTTGTAAATTGTATTTTTCTTTTAATTACATGTTGTATTTTTTATATTTCAATTTGCATATTGTTGTAATAAGTTGTATAGAAACCACTACGGATGTACCATACTTTATTTAACCAGTCCTCTACCAATGAAAATTTGGGTAGGAAAATCTATTTTCTAACTCACCATCAAAGGCAGACAGAAGCTCCAGGTGATCTTCCATGTCACTAGTAACTGAGAGGGCCTGCTTTACTTTCAGATTTGTTTCACTAGAGTAAAAGACAAGTCACCAGAGTACAAACATACAGAACTACTGCAGAGGTGCAGTTTCTCCTACTTTTTCACGGGGTTTTAGAAAATAGATGTTGCCAGTAGAGCCTGGGCTATAAGTCTGAGCTATAAGAGTCACTCCCACTGTTCCTCTCACAGTATTGAGGTGAGATGGCTCTTCAAGGAAGCTGAATGTTAGCCCACTCATTCCCACCTCTTTCCTCTCACTCCCTGCAACACACTGCCACTACTTAATCAACTCATGAGATCTAGCTGGTCAGGTGCTCTAGAGAGGCTGAAGAGACATCATAAAACAACCTGGAGACAGTACCGGCTCCCTTCAGGAATAAGGAGTATGGCTAGGCATGGCGGCTCACGTCTGTGATCCTAGCATTCTGGAAGGCCGAGGTGGGAGGACTGCTTGGGCTCAGGAGCTCAAGGCCAGCCTGGGCAACAAAGCAAGACCCTGCCTCTATTTTTAAAATTAAACTAAATTAAAAATTTTTAAAAAGAATAAGGAGCAGGTCCTGGTAAAAACTTGCACATACCTCCAAGGAAACATACTCCACACCTCATAAATATTTATGGGGCCCATGACAGGCTCTCAAATAACTGCTTGCTAGAATGCAGAGATAAAAAGAAAAGTGGAAGCCATGTTTCAAAAAATTGTGAGCATCAAGAAGTACAGTTGTAGGAATGAAGATCAATACAAAACTCCCCAGGACAAGCTTTCTACAGATGGCTCTGTCCTCCTAAGACCTTAGCTTTGGGATATTAATAAATTTCTACCTTAAATCCTTTATAGGACATGGTATTTTATCAGTGAATAGATACTTCCGTATTCAATTTTTTTTCCTTGGAAACTTTGAAACTGTACTCTGAAATGCTGCAGTTCTATTAACCTCCTTCTTGCCACTCAGTATTATAGAATACAGCCACAATGTCTCCAATTTAGAGATAGAGAATGTGAGGTTTATTTGCCCTATTCTGTGCCCAGTGAATGCTCAATTGTTCCTGTCAAGAGCTCAGCCTTAGACTTGAGGGTCCCAAGGATGTGGTATCCATCTTCTCTTAACTGGATATTTCTAGACTCTCTGGGTCATAGATTCAATATTCCATCTGAGAATAAAATTAATTCCCCGCCTCATGCTGTCCCTCAGTGAGAGACCACTCTAAGCTGGCTAAATCATCTTAATGAAGTATCAGGAGGGAACACTTACCCATCCAGGTCTGCTGTCTCTATGTATGTCAGACTATATGACTCACTGCTAGAGAGTAATAGTATATCTGCCTGTGGTCAGAAAAGTCAAAGAAAGTAAGGATAGCAGGAAGGTGGGGTCTTAACATTACAGTGTGACAAAAACAATCACCTTAGGAACAGATGTTCACCCTAAGGATTTTACAGACACTGATTTACTTTCTTTGTCTAGCATCTATCACTGCTACCACATACCCTCTCCCAAAGCTACTCATACTTTACCTGTAACTACAGTGAGAAATAGGCAAGAACAAGCTTCTACTGTAACAGCTATTGATTTCTGATGCAAAATGAGGCAGCAAAGGTCACCAAAAGCAGTAGTGGCAGAAGTGCTCCAAGAGTCCCTGGTACCCACTTAATCCAAAAATGAACAAGCCACAGTCAAAAGAGGTACTCACTGTGACAGGCTGATTATTTTCCAGCTTTATTATATCTCCCACTTGAACATTCATCCATTTGTCCTTCTTCATCCTGTAAGAAAACGACCTTTAAATATCTGCTCTGAGAATTTCCCCAAAGCTCTGCTTTTGACAAGCAAGATGATTCCCCAACCCTCCAAAAAAGGCTGAAAGGAATAAAGACAAGGCTCAAACTGGTCCGTGATGCATCATTGCTGCAATCAAGAGTGGGGCCTATTTCTCTTGACTTCAGGCTGTAAGGGTTCTAAAGCCTTATAAAAGTATCTGTAGACCTACATGCACATAAATTTTTTTTTTAGCCAGGTGTGATGGATCATGCCTGTAATCCTACTTTGGGAAGCTGAGGTGGGAGGCCTGCTTGAGGCCAGCAGTTCGAGACCAGCCTGAGCAATACAGCAAGACCCTGCCTCAAAAAAATTAAAGTTTTTTTTTTAAAGTAAAATAGTTCCAATGGTAAAGTATGTAAAAGGAAAAATTAAAGTATTCTCTGTTACCAGAATTTAGTTTTGCTCCCCAAAGGTAACCACTGTCAGTAATATTTTTGTATTTATTTTTAGAAAATATCAATCCATGTAATCATATATAATACACACATTTAAAAGCTACATATTAGATATATAATTTTCTGTACTCTACATTTTTCATTTAAGAATCCATCTTTGAGAGCATTTGTAGAAGATGTAGCTCATTCTTTTTGATAGCTAAAATGTATTCTATCATAAGGTCATATCAATTTTATCTATTTATGTTAAAGTTAGATTATCTTTGATTCTCAAATCCCTACTTTCCATAAGAGGCAGCCTGGCAGTTTGAGCAGATTCCACAATAATACTAGTTATCTGCCCACCTCTTTTTTTTTTTTAACCTCAACTTCCCCAAATACACAGGGTCTATAAATCCTTCCTCCCTGAGAAAGGTCTAAGAATGTACATATTGCCAAGAACATTTTGGAAATATGAGCTATATCCTTGCAACAATTATATTATGACAAGCACCCAAAGGGTGAGAAAGAGAGGAGTCTAGAGGCCACTATCTGTTTTGTCTCTGAATACAGGCCTGTTATCTGCAGGGCATGACATACATCTCCACTTTGCCAACTACACAAAGGCATGGGTATGCCTAGGACACCTTTCCTAAGAAGACAGCTGCTTTGAGGAGGGCCAAATTTTCCCAATAAAAAGTCCTTTTATATAAATCCACTGTTTCTTTTTTTTTTTTTTTTTTTTGAGTCGGAGTTTCGCTCTTGTTACCCAGGCTGCAGTGCAATGGCGCAATCTCGGCTCACCACAACCTCCACCTCCTGGGTTCAGGCAATTCTCCTGCCTCAGCCTCCTGAGTAGCTGGGATTACAGGCACGCACCACCATGCCCAGCTAATTTTTTGTATTTTTAGTAGAGATGGGTTTCACCATGTTGACCAGGATGGTCTCGATCTCTTGACCTCGTGATCCACCCGCCTCGGCCTCCCAAAGTGCTGGGATTACGGGCGTGAGCCACCGCGCCCGGCCAAATCCACTGTTTCTTATAGAGAAATTTCTGATAGTACTGTAGAGTAGTAGCTACAAGCCTTGGAGAAAGACATCTGGGTGTTTGTTTTGTCTTGACTTGACGTTCACTATTACTCTGGCATTCTATCTAATGTAAAACATGAAGAGGAACAAGTGCTGTTACATTCTGGCTTCTCCTGGAGATATATATAAATTATAAATTTATAATTTCTTACATAAGGAGCTGCCAAACTATTATCAATTTGTTCTTGGACATTATAACAATCATGTGTCCCAGATTTGGGAGAGGTGGAGACACTCCTTACTGATTTAAAATACTCAATCCTGTCATACAAAACAGTAAGCATGTTCTGAAGCTATTCTTGCGCTGGGTCAAGGAGGGATTAGTTTTAATAATCTAATAACCTGAATTTCAATTTCTTCTACCAGAGGGACAAGAGATAAAGCCTTATGATCTTGAGAGGCAGTGAGTTGAAACTAAGAATTTCTCATAAAGCCAGGACCCTTGAAGGGCAATACCATTAGTAAAAGAGTCATCTAAAAAAAAAGTAGCTCACTGGCAAGAAAGTTTGTCTATCTTAGTCTGGAGTGTTGGGGGTCAGTGAGTGGAGGACTCTTCCCTGAACATCTGTAACTGCATATGGAATGGGGCTCAAATTTATATGTCCTTCAAATTAGGTCTCAGCAGGTAATACCCTTGAGTCAACTGGCAGAAGCAAACACAAACCCTTATAGAGGGATACAACCTCACCTCCAGCCACTTAGAATTCCCTTAAAGAAAGTTCTAATGATGTACTTGTAAACAAAATTACTGAGAAATGAAAAATGACAAAAATCATAACTTATAAAGCAGACAAACTTTTAAAATAGCAGCTCTGCTTAGACCCATGTGTTCTAGAAAAGGAAAGCTGTTTTCTGGAACGTACAATGTTTCAACAACCAACCTCACCTCTGCATATTAAACTAATCGGATACTCAGTAGCTTGTAAAGTTTAACCAGGGCCTTGCCTGTTAACTCCCACCTTAAAACACCACTAAGACAAATTCTTCAATAACCTTATAAAACCCAAGTGCTCAAGCTACTTGGGTGAGTTCATTTGACTAAATCCTCTCGGTCAGCAATTCTGCATATACTCAGTTTTGTCTTTTCTTTTCATTTCTATTTCCCTTCTTTTTAACTACAACTGACTTTTTTGGTGTTATCTTATGGTACAGTTCAACAGTTCAGAAGTTCAAAACTCTTGAGGAAACCAACCATCGTAAGAATCAGCAGATACAGTACACAACAGGGTTAGCTGCTCAAGCTCTTGAGATGATAGAATTATATGATAAATTCTATAGCTATTGGGTATTTGGTAAGGCCACCAGGATAAAGGCTGGACCTCAATCTTGAACTCCTTCAAGTTTGCATTTTCTTGCAATCATGCTCCTGCCCACACTGGTCACTTTTCCTTTCACACAATCTCTACTTGCTGAATTCTTCCCCTTCCTTTAAGGCCTAGTACAAACACCACAACTCTTCCAGAAAGTCTTCCTTGATTTCTTTAACCGGTTATGATTGCTTATTTTTATTAATTCCTATAGCAATTTTGTGTACCTTTTAGGATAGTCTTCATATTTTGCCTTACATAGAAATATGCCTGCCTTTTTCCATTCCTGCAACACTTTGGATAGCTATGACCAAACACTAAAGCAGCTGTGCCAATGTCAATACTCTGTTTATATTGCTAACAGAAAAGATGACCTGACCAAAGGCTACAGTAGAATGGCCAAAAACCATGTCAGAATCCATTAATGTTCTAAAGACAGATGTTTCCATGCTAACTACCACATTAATAATATCACTTACATAGTAATATCATGTTATAAAATATTAATTGCTTTAATATATATTATTTCCTTTCTATTTTCACAAGTATCCTCTAAGGTACAGAATTATTTCCATTTTATAGAAAAGAAAAATGAGACCAACACAGATATCTGAGATTACATGACAAATTCAGAGCATGCTAGATCTAGAAACAAATTATTTGTTTCTATGAACAAATTATTTCTATGTCTGAGGTTCTTTTCATTGTCCTGAACTAAAGCCAAACCTTTTCAGGAATGGTCCTACCTAAACTAGCTTCCCTAGAAGAACTTACTTGCCATTCACCAGTAGCAGAACAGGCCGGTTGTTGACTTGATTGTCACTTTGGTGCCTTTTCTAAAATCACACAAGAAAATGTTCAGGAAACAGGCCTATAGTAAACTGCATATAGAAGATTAACATTTTGAAATATTATACAATATAGTTCCCTTCTTTGTAATTCTTCTTTTCCCCTATACCAAGCCCTTCTACTCTTAAAACCAAGCCAAGGGGTTGATTATCTCCGGGAAGCTGGAAAGAGAGGGCAGGAAAATAATCCAGGGAGAAGAAAGAGACAAAATCTTGGTTTTAAATATCAAAAGTGAAAAACCCGGGGGAATGAGAAAACATGTCAAAAGCTGCAGAGGACACAATTCAAATGATGGGTAGGGCTACAGAGTCCTGTGTGCCTGGGTAGGTGCAGGGAAAGCTAAGTATTCTCAAGCAGACTCCTACCCTACCTTCAACCACAGTTGACATACAGAGGCTTCTATAGTGGATACAGTGAGAAAAAAGGCCAATATATAAAGATGAAATAGAAGGGAAACAAATAGAGGATATGTCCTGATATCAGGATTTACATACATCTCCTCCTTCTAGTTGAGATTACTCCTTGAGTAAAGCGTAGAACTGGGAGTAGGGCAGAGAGAATTCTGAATTTGTCAGAATTCAAAATTGTCCAACTATTTATCCTAAAGATACTGAATTCTAAACTAGAAGTAATTGGGTTACCCTGAATTGGCAAATTAATTTTTGGTTCTCATTGGAGACAGCTAAGATGGGTTGTGCATGTGGTTATAATCTAAACTGAGTTCAGTTATAGAGAAATAAAGTTATACTTTTGCACATCTAAGTTGTGACTGAAAGGTAAACCACAATGTGCTAATCCTGGGTTTAAAGAGGTAAAGTGCTGAGGAAACACGGTGCTCTCAAACTGGGCTAAAAATCTGTTCTGGTGAAATCAGAAAGACCCTCTTAGGGAAACTGCAAGAAGGTCAATAGGACTGGCTTTCCAAATCCCACTAGTAGGCATGGCACTGGGTTCCTGCCCTTACCCCTCTATGCTGGGCCTGCTGTAAGAGGCAAAGAGAAAGCCATGCAGCACTCACTGTGAGCCAGTTTCTCTTTCAAGGCCAGAAAAGGAGTCAGCCTCTGCATATGTCATGAGGCTTTCTAAAACCAGAGGGTTCCTAGCTGTGCACACCTAACAGAATTGAAAGTTGGAAAGGGAAATAGTGAGAGTTGTAGAGAATAAAGAAAATGTGGAGAGACAAAAAGAAAGAGAAAGAACAGGAAAGGGGGAACAGGGGCAGATGGAAGAAGGGAAAGGGAATAGAGAGTGGGAGAAGGAGTAGCAAAGGAAAAAGGATGAGAGCAAAGCTACAGAAAGCTAAGAGGAGTAAAGAAATATGGGTTATTAAAGATGGAAGGAGGCTTGGGAGAGGGGCTAAAAGTGGCGGCAGTAGGAAGACAGAGAAAGGCCTTGTTTTCCCCCTTTCTGGCCGTACATAGACCACCAATCTTGGGCCTAAAGGAACTGCATATTACTCTGGGATGGATAAGGAAAGAAGAAAGGGAAATCTCTCTTTCCATTCAGGTTTTCTTGTTAGCACCAGGTAGTTCTGGGAAGTCCTTCATGCCTGCAGCCTGACTAGGTGCAGTGAGAGGAACTAGAGGCCAAGGAAGCCACTTCACCAGGTCATCGATGGCATCTTTCACTGCTGTTACGGACAGCACCACCATCAGGGGTACCATAGTTGTATACCATGCCAAGGAGGAGATCTGGGGAATCAACTAAGAGAGAGAATCTTGGGTCAGAAAACTCAAAGGATAATATATTCCCACCCCCCACCACGTCCCTCACCCTCAACACCATTTTCACCTCCATTTGTTCATACTAAATCCAACTATTCTAGTTGCTTTCCACTGTTGTATCTTTCATATAACCCCTGAGATGTACATAAACATTTCCCAAGGAAAGATAAAAGAATAAAAAACTATAAGTTGCTCCCTATCTATCCTGAACCCCACTACCTTTGTGTTGATGGCAAAGAGCATTTCTCCTCTGATAATGAAAAGTAATGTGTGGGTAAGAGCAGATAGAGAAAAACTACATGCTCTCCCACACCCTTCAGTACAAGGAGTGAAATGATCTGTCTCTCTCTCCTAATTTGGGCATATCCTGCCCTGCTTGCTGTCCTTATGCTGGCACTTATATTCTAAACCATTCTAAACCTTCTTTAGTACTCTCACATGTTAATTTTCTGTCAGCAAGGATGGGACAAGAAAGAGAAATAGGGTTGCAGTTGTGGTGGGGTGAAGAATCTGTAGCCCTCTATGGTCAAACTGAACTGTGGCAACACAGCCACGATGAGGAACTCCCCTTCCTTGGAATGTGGTGACCTTGTCCCTTTCCTTGTATAGAGGCTTGCTATACACTAGCTAATCCTGACCACAACTATTCTAAGGGACTGGTCTGAGACTCCAGCCACCCATGTTCCTGTTGTCTAAAGAGAGAAGACATTTCCCAGTTTAGGGAGGAAAAAAACTGATTATACAGTCTGACCACAGAGAAGTTCATAAAATACTCTCTGGAAAAGGCCCCAAAAGGCAATACCTGTAAAATTAGCAAAATGAGGAAATATGCATTTGCAAGTCTCTGGAACTGTTCAAATAGGTTCAGGGGCAGGAAATTAAAGACATTGTATTTTGAGGTCTTGATGGTATTTTTCTGTGAGTAAACAAACAAACAAACAAACAAGAAATACACAATTAGACAAAAGACAGCTCAAAACTGGGTTGATAAGCAGCTGCCCCTACCTCCCAGTCTACCCTTCCCCTACAAAAAGACCAAGACCACTGAGTGAAATGAGAAAAAGCCACCAAAGTCCCCTCTACCCCCCTCCCCACCACCACAGGGAGGGAGGGGGGAAGGAATCTCTAATTTCCCCTTTTCCTTGAGGCCTAGAGAGGCCTCGAGGGTAGAAAGATGGCCAGGCTGCTCTATATGGTACTTTCTTTGGGGGAATGTATCTCTGCTCTGATAGAGTTGTTGTTTATTGATGTTATTGATGGTAATAATGATGATCAAGTCAATAAAAACTTACATTTATTGAGTACTTATTATGTGAAAGGCACTGTTGCAGCATTTTATATGTAGCAACTCATTTACACCTCACAACAACCCTATGAGGGGAGTACTTTTGAGGATGAGGAAATGGAGGCGCTACATCCAGAGCTCTCTAACGGGGCTTTCTTAGCTTGGCAAACTCAATTTGGTGTGCTTTTCCGTGTTTTTTGCAATGTTGAAGGATGTTAGATGTTAAAAGCAAAGAACTGTCTTTCAACCCTAGCCCACTGAAGGTTTCTATACTAGTCACTGTCAGCATTGGAGAATCATTTGGCCCTTAATTGTCCTAAGAGGATTTAAATAGTTTTGGCTCATCCAAGCTATTATTTTGCTGAGTGAAAGTGGAAACTTGTTTACTTCCTCAATTCTGATCTCAAGATGTTCACAGGATCATCTTACTTTCTACCTTTGAATCTTAAATCATTTGTCCTAAGATGTCAGAGCTCAAATGTAAGAGCTCTCAAAGCATAAGAATAAGACCAAATACTTCCCTAAGTTCAGGGCTTATCTCCTACCTCTTCCCTTTAAAAGGACAGAACAAAAGAATAAAAATAACTAATGGATACTAGGCTTAATACCTGAGTGATTAAATAATCTGCACAAAAACCCCCCATGACACAGGCGTACCTATGTAACAAACCTGCACATCCTGCACATGTACCCCTGAACTTAAATAAAAGTTAAAAAAAAAAAAAAAAAGAATAACCTACCTGCTTGCCTGGAGTACAAATACTGCTCAAGCATGAAGAATCTTGCTAGGCCCTGCCTTAGGAAGATATCAAAGTCTTTCCCTCAGAGAATTAAAACTATTCAGTCCTAAGACTAAAACCCGAATCTTGTGTCCCAGAAAGTTAGGCTATCCAGCCAAGCCTTGCCCAAGGCCTATTTCCTTAGAGAAGCTGGTCAAATAGCTTAGCACTTAGGAGTTTAGAGATCCAGGCAAAACTCAGATTTCCTCAGTGTTTTCTCCAAGATTTTCCAAATAATAATCAATCAGACACTATTGCATTTCTCAAGGCTTGCTCTGTTCACAGTCCCTATGCTGGACTATACTAGTGGAGGCTGATAAATAATTAGGCAGGATCTCTTCTTGAGAAGCTAGTGGTCTGTCTTGAATCAAATTCTAGTGAAATGATCTCTAAGGGCCCTTCTTGTCACAAGAATATATAATTCTAACATGGAAATAGCTTTCTTTGATCATAACTTTGAATTTCTCAGTGTCTAAGTCCTGATGGCTCTGATACTTGAACTCAAAGATCTTCTGAGAGGTGGCCTTACTGATGTAGCTAGGTTTCACTGTTTATTTTCCATTTGATTTTATAGCCATTTAATGTATTTCAGGTTTCTATTCATGCAGGTAACATTCTGCTTCAAGACACAAATACAGGTATTTCTTTACTAACTTTGCAACTAGTGTTTTGTTCTGCTCTTAAATGTAAAACCAGAAACATTATCCTAAGAACATCTCCTTAACTGTGAACTTCCTTAGAGTTTAGTCCTTTAGGCAGAGGTGATAAAATTTAAACATGATAGAGGTGGTGAATTTTGGTTTGGTTATTTTTTTCTTTGGGCAGTGTTATGGGACTGAAAGTTAATTGGGGAAATAGAAGAGAATAAAATACAAAGGATATAATGAGAATCAGTAGTTAGGAATAGGGAAGAGGACAAGGAGTCACAGTGGAAGAAGTTAGAGAAATAGGAAAATGAGCAATGCTCAGGGCCAGGTAAATGAAATGGTGTTAAACATATCAGAATCAGTCAAATCTGTTCATTCACTCATTAAATATTCAATATACATTTATTAAATGTTGGCTGTGTGCATAACATTGTAATGGAAACTGTGTATGCAGAGGTAAATGAGATATCCTTTTTCAAGGACTATTAGTTCCAAGGACTAATAGTTTCTTGGAGAAACAGAACTAACATTTTCAGAACCATACTTAACTCCTATGACCACCATGCAAGGTGAACTTTATTATGCCCATTTTACAGATGAAAGAACTGAAGATTAGAGAAGTTAACAAACTTGCCTAAGACATTAAGGTTAGTGGGGGCTGAGCTATATTCAAACTCAGATCTGTCTGATGCCAAAACCTAGATTTACTCTCCTCACTCCTTCCTAAGCAGGTTTAGAAGATAGAGAAGAGAAAAACCTGCTCTCATAGTCATATCTTGGACATTATTATTATCCAGACCACTTGATATGGTTTGGCTCTGTGTCCCCACCCAAATCTCATGTTGAATTGTAATTCCCAATGTTGGGGAGGGACCTGGTAGGAGTAATTAGATCCCCCATGCTATTCTTGTGATAGTGAGGGAGTTCTCATGAGATCTGATGGTTTAAAAGTGTGGAATCCCCCTCATTTTCTCTCTCTCTTTCCTGCCACCACGTGAAGAAGGTGATTGCTTACCCTTCACCTTCCAACATGATTGTAAGTTTCCTGAGGCCTCCCAGTCATGCTTCCAGTTAAGTCTGAGGAACTGTGAGTCAATTAAACTTCTTTGGTTCATAAATTACCCAGTCTTGGGTAGTTATTTATAGCAGTGTGAGAATATAATAATATACCACTCTCACTCAGAAATCATAAACAGCCAACAGAGACCACAAACATATATGATTACATATATATTTTAATATGATTATAGCTATGTATATGTATATATAATTACTTAAATATGTATAAAATAATTGCTTGTGATCACAAAAGATTAAAAACAACCCAAAATGTCCATTTAAAAGGAACTGGTTAAATAAAATATGTTAAATCTGCAGAGAAAATACTACATATTATAGATGAAAAAGGAAAAAACTATTATAAAATTATAATGAAGACATCTCCAGGATACATTAAGGTTCAGAATAGTGTAAAAATAGAAAAGTAAGAATATATATTTGTATTTGCTTTATTTGCACAAAGAAACACTGCTTAATACACACAAAAAAATTAACAGTGGTTCCCTCAGGGGAACAGATAAGGATGAGGATGGAGTACTGGAGCATAACTTTTCAATATATATCTTTTTGTGAATTACTTAGTCATAGATACATGAATAAGTGAAAAATGGACAATCCAATAGAAAGTGGGCAAAGATCATCAATAGGTATTTTCCAGAAAAAGAAATAGAAAAGGCTAATTAACATGAATGTCATTTTCATCTAAGAGCTGACAAAGGTGAAGAAGATTGATGATAACCAGTTTGACAGGAACATGGAGAAATGGGCAGTCTCTAATTTAAGTAGAAACGTAAATGGATATAATTCTTTTTGGGGGCAATCTGGCCTCTGACAAATTTTAATTTTTAGTGTGCAATTCTTTTGACACAGCCAATTTACTTTTAGGAAACTTTCATAAGATACAGTTACACAAATGTGCCAAAATATATGTGTAACTGTGTCCATTCAACAGCATTTATCATAGCAAAACACTGGAGACATTAAAATGTTCATCAATAGGAGACTGACTAAATAAGGTTTATCAACATAATGGAAAATAATGTCACTATTAAATGAATGAGGGATATCTATATGTGTTGTCATAGATAAATGTCTAAATGAAAAAAGAAAATTGTAGAACTATGCTTTCATTTCTGCAAGAAAAAGCTATAGTATTTATTATCTGGGAGTTATATATAAACCTGAAATCTGAGACGTTCCCTATTTGATTTCTGAGCCTTCATTCCACCACTCATTGTATAGGAGCTTGAGTGAAAGTGTAATAGAATCTGTGTTATAGGATCCACATCTACAAAGAATTTCATGCTCCTCCAACAAAGAAGAATATTACAGAATACTGGCCCCCTTCTGAAACAGCCAGAGGCATGACACTCACCGGATATCCAGAACTACCGTGGAATTTGTTGTTGTTGGCTTGCAGACATCTCTCATGTTCTGAAAAAAGATGGGATAAATGATGAGAAGGATGCCCCTCTGTAGATCAGACTGGGATGCTGGCTGCTAGTGAAGACCACTATATCCCCACACTTTCTTCCTGAAGATATCTGTTTAAACATGGGATTTTTGTCTCTTTAATCACAGACAAAAGAATCAAGGAACAATAAAAATAAAAATACCCGATTCGAGCTTTCTGGAGGCAACAGAACAAGTAACTACTGAGGAGTTCTCCACCATCAATGCTTCTAGTACTTCCTAGATTATGTCTCCATGGACAACAAGATGGTTTGCACCAATTTTACTGCCAACCACAGAAACCCAGCCTTTCCTCATAAGTCAATTTTAGCACTTTGTCTTAATATATCTGAGGCTCTTTTGCAAGCCAGCTTGTCCTAAACTTGCTTAACTAAATTTAAATTAGTACAACATGATTGATCATCTATTGCACAGAAGCCAGTGTACTAAATGCTGTGGAGGGATAAAATGATAAGTAAGAAAGTCTCTGACTTCAAGGACTTAAGTGTAGTACGAGTAAGCCTGATTACTTGAAAAAATCATCACATCAAAACAGAGGTGTTTGTTACAAGCTATTACAAATAGTGAGCCTGTTACCATGTTATGAAAACATATATATATATATATATACAATCAATAGATCTTTCTATCCTGAATGAAATATTCCTATAATATCTGGTTCTTCCTTGGTTCAGCAAGCATTTACTGAATTCTTGGTAGGTTCAGGACCTGTGCTAGGTCCTAGGGTTATGAGATGAGGAAAACATCATCCCTGACCATCTTGGTATTCCCATTCCTAGTAGGAAAGACAAATACAAAATTTCAATCTAATGTTAGGGCAGAGATACAAGTTGGAGGTGCACAGAAGAGGGGATGGAAGTCAGGGAAAGTAGGACACAGAGGTATTTCTGGAGGAGAAGATGCCTTAATTATTTAGATGATATGGATTAAGTGCTTCCCAGTTCTCTTAAACCTGTATATTATACCAAGCAATCTAGATATTAGCCTGAAGGCTGACACCACTGCTAAGCTTTCAACCCTTAATGCTTCTAGTAATTCCTAGGTGATGTCTCCATAGAATTTGCCTCCTCAGAGAGTGGGCTGTAGCAACCCCTCTGCCTCTGAGTTGTACTGAATATCTACTTTAAAGTTCTTCTGGCCCTCTAAGATCCTCCTTACCCCAAGGCTCCCAAGATTAAAAAGAAACTTCTTCCCTTGGCCATCAAAAATTATATCCTAGGCTACAGACTCCTACTCTGATCTTTAACTATCTGATTCACTCCTCCAAGAGGAGTCTCTGGCTCCAGGTCCTGGAAACCAAACCCTGCAATTGTTCAAGTTTTTTTTTTTTTTTTTGAGCTATGATTCATATAATATAAAATTAACCCCTGAAAGTGTACAGTTGATTGGCTTTTAGTATATTCATGGTTATGCAACCATCATCATTAATTCCAGAGCATATTCATCATCCCTCAAGGACACGTCATACCTGTACTCTCAATTCTTACCTCTCAGTCCCTAGTGGACACTAATCTATTCTCTGTCTCTGTGGATTTGTCTATTCTGGACATTTTACATTAACAGATGCATAAAATATGGGTCTTTTGAAACTAGCTTCTTTCACTTAGAAAAATGTTTCCAAGGCTCATTCATGTTGTAGTATGTATCAGTATTTAATTCCTTTTTATGTCTGAACAATACATCAGTGTTCAATACAATACCACATTGTATTTCTCTATTCACCCATGATGAACATTTGCTTTGTTTCCACCTTTTGGCTACTGTGAAGAATACAGCTATGAACATTCATGTTCAAGTTTTTGTGTGAACACGTTTTCATTCCTCTTTAGTATATGCCTAGGAGTAGAATCAATAGGTCAAATGTTAACTTTATGTTCCATTTTTTGAGGAAGTGCCAGACAGTTTTCCACAGTATCTGTACTATTTTACATTCCCTCCTCAAATGTATGAGTGTCCCAATTTCTCCACATTCTCTCCAGCACTTGTTATTGCCCATGCTTTTTACTTTAGCAATTTTAAAGGCTGTGAAGTAGTATCTCACTGTGGTTTTGATTAGCATTTCCCTCATGACTAACGATGACGTTGAGTATCATTAGCTATTTGTATATTTTTTCTTTGAAAAAATGTCTATTCAGATTCTTTGACCATTTTTTTAAAATTTCAACTTTTGTTTCACATACAGTGGTTACATGTGCAGGTCTGTGGCATAGGTATATTGCACCCACAGCCCCTCCCCCTCTAGTAGTCCATAATGTCTATTGTTCCCCTGTTTATGTTACTGACCTTTTTTTTTTTTTTTTCCTGAGAAACAAGTCCATGTTATTGACCATTTTAAAATTGGGTTATTTGTCTCTTTATCACTGAACTGTAAGAGTTCTTTATATTCCGGGTAAAAGGCCCCTATCAAATACATGATTTGCAAATATTTTGTACCATTCTTGAGTTGTCTTTTCATTTTCTTGATAGTTTGCTTTGAAGCACCAAAGTTGTTAATTTTGATGAAGTCCTACTTGTTTTTTCTTTGGTCCCTTGTGTTTTTGGTGTCACAGTTAAAAAAACCATTGCTAATCCAAGGTCATTAGAATTTACTCCTATTTCTTTTTCTAAGAGTTTTATAACCTGTAATCCCTGTACTCACACCTGTAATGCAGTGGCTCACACCTGCAATCCCAGCATTTTGGGAGGTTGAGGCAGGAGGACTGCTTGGGTCCAGGAGTTCAAGACCGACCTGGGCAACATAGTGAGGCTGTATGTCTACAAAAACTAAAAAAATTAGTCAGGCATGATGGTGCAGCCTGTGATCCCAGCTATTCAGGAGGCTGAGGTGGGATGACCACTTGAGGCCAGGATAGAGACTGCCCAGTGAACCGTGATCGTACCACTGTCTCTGCGCAACAGAGTGAGAAGAACCTGTCTCCAAAAATAAATAAATAAATAAAATTAAAAAGAGTTTTATAGTTTTAACTCTTACATTTAAGTCTTTAATCTATTTTGCATTAATTCTTGTGTATGGTGTAAAGGGTCCATTTTTATATTTTTGTATGTGTATATTCAGTTCTACCAGCACCATTTGTTGAAAAGACTATTCTTTTCCCAATGAATAGTTATAATGTCCTTGTTGAAAATCAACCACATGCTTTTTCTGTATCTATTGAGACAATAATGCAGTTTTTATCCTTCACTCTATTAATGTGGTATATCACACTGATTGATTTGCATATGTTATGTGATCTTCGTATTCTCGGGATAACTCCTGCTTGGTCACAATATACGATTCTTTTACTCTGATACTGGATTTATTTGCTAGTATTTTGTTGAGGATTTTTGCATCTATCAGAAGTATTGGCCAATAATTTTCTTTTCTTGTAGTGTCTTTGGCTTTTGTATCAGAGTAATGCTGGCCTCATAAAATGAGTTTGAAAGTGTTGTCTCTTTTTCAATTTTAGGAAGAGTTTAAGACGGAGTAGTGTTAATTCTTTTTAAAATGTTTGACAGAATTCACCAGTGAAGCCATCTGGTCCTAGGCTTTTGTTTATTGGGAGATTTTGTTTTTATTTTGTTTTGTTTTGTTTTTGAGATGGAGTTTTGCTCTGCTGCCCAGGCTGGAGTGCAGTGGTGCGATCTTGGCTCACCACAGCTTTTGCCTCCCGGTTCAAACGATCCTCCTGCCTCAGTCTCCTGAGTAGCTGGGATTATAGGCATGTGCCACCACACTCAGCTAATTTTTGCATTTTTAGTAGAGTTGGGGTTTCACCATATTGGCCAGGCTGATCTCAAACTCCTGACCTCACGATCCACCTGTCTCAGCCTCGCAAAGTGCTGGGATTACAGGCATGAGCCATTATGCCCGGCTTGTTTTTTAGCCATGTGTGTACCTATGCAACAATCTTGCATGTTCTTCACATGTACCCCAAAACCTAAAATGCAATAAAAAATAAATAAATAAAATAAAACATTAAAAAAATAGTCTCTTATGATCCCTTTTATTTTTGTGGAATCAGCTGTAATGTTTTCTCTTTCATTTTGGATTGTAGTCTTCTCTTTTAAAAGTTTACTTAAGGGTTTGCCAATTGTGTTGATCTTTTCAATAAACCAATTTTTAGTTTTATTAATTTTTCTTATTGCTTTTCTATTCTCCATTTTATTTATTTTTACTCTAACTCCTTCCTTCTGCTAACTTTGGGCCTAGTTTTTTCTTCTTTTCCTAGTTCCTTAAGGTGTAAATGTAGGTTGTTTAATTGAGATCTTTCTTTTTTTTCTCTAATGTAGGCATTTATTACTATGAACTTCTCTCTTAGAACAAATTTTGCTGCATCCTATAAGTTTTGCTACGTTTTCATTTGTATTAAGGTATTTTTATTTCCCTTTTGATTTCTTTTTTGACCCATTGATTGCTTAGGAGTATGCTGTTTAATTTCTACATATTTGTGAATTTTCTAATATTCTTCCTGTTATTGATTTCTAGTTTCATACCATGTGGTTAGAAAAGATAACATGCTTTCAATCTTATTAAATTTGTTAAGACATGTTTTGTGCCCCAACATATGATTTATACTAGAGAACAGATCCATGTGCACTTGAGAAGAACAATGTATTGTGCTGTTTTGGGTTGGAATGTTCTGTATATATCTGTTAGGTCCATTTGGTCATAATGTTATTCAAGTCCACTGTTTCCTCGATTTTCTTTCTGAATGATTCTATTGTTGAAAGTGGATTACTGAGGTTCGCTACTATTACTGTACTGCTGCCTATTTCTCCCTTCACTTCTGTTAAGCTATGCCTTATATATTTAAGTGCTCTCTTGTTGGATGCATTTATATTCACTGGTGTTATATACTATTGATGAATTGGCCTCTTTATCATTAAATGATGACCTTTCTGTCTTTTATGACAGGTTTGCCTGACACAAGTATAGCCACCCTTGTCCTCTTTTGGTTACCATTTGCACAGAATATCTTTTC